AGGCAATCAAGGTTTTGTGATATTAGAATTCGGCCCGGGGTGCGCGTTGGCCGCAAAGGTACCCAAGTCCGATACTATATTCCGGCGCCTGGAAAGTACAAGTGTATCCTAGGTAGATAAAATCGTCAGCAGAGTTCCTACTCCATTTCAGCGAGCTGGATGCCTAGAAAACAGTACTCGCTAAATTTTGCCACCGCGAGACTCTCTTTAACCCCGCAACCAAGTCTCTCAAACTGGCCTTTCTATAGGTAGCGATTCTTCTTTTTGAGTAGGAAGGGGAAGCCATCAACACGCCCCAGGGCATAAATTCGACTGGTGGGTTATAAATACACACCCACACACAGAGGAACACCGCAGATACCTCTACATCAGAGCTTGTAGTCAACTGCTCCACCCACAGTTCCAAGAAACCTGAGTGGTAACAGTTGAGTTGGTTGCCCACCTTAGATGCCCGTAACCTCTATTCCTGTGGTTACTTTTAGTTTTTATTGGTTTCGGTTTAGTTTTTAGTTCATTAATTTAATTTTAGGTTTGACTGAGTTTAGTTTAGTCAGATTCCGCCGACGGTAGATAAATATACTTAAATAACTACTATATACTAAAATAAACTTAGCTGAGCAAAACCAACTAAAACAAAAACTAAGCTCAAGCTAAACTAATAAACTTATAAACTAAATAATAAAATATACAATAAACCAAATTAATACCACCGGTCCCGTTCAAAGAAGGGTATCTGAGGTGGGCGATTAACTTAACTTTTACAACCTGGGTTACGTAAAAGACTCAAATGAAAGTGAAGCGAAGGCCTTACCAGTTGTCGCAGTTGCTTTTGCAGTTGGTCGCTTTCCGTCTGTAGCTTACTAAGAGCCTGCTGCGTGTTGGCATTCGTTGAGCCGGAAGTTTGAAGCAACGCAATGTTTGCATTTTTCTCGGCTACTGATGCACTCAACGCCTCAATCCTGCAGAGCAATTGGTGAAAAATTAACCAGCATGCAAAAGTAACACCTCAGTCTGTAATATCAGATTTTAGACTATAAGTATTAAAATAGATTTTAAAGTATTGCTAGCATCAGCCTCTTGGAGTTTAGCCGAGAACAAAAAGGAGGAGGAATGCGAGTACGTGATCAAGATGAGAAGCACATAAAGAGAGAAAATAACAAGAACAGTTGAGTGGAGGCGGGCACAAGCAGTGCTCTTGCCAAGCAGACTGTGTTCACATTAGCATAAACACAAAGGAGGATGGGGGGATTAAATTAGCGCATGGGCTACTGCGCTTTTGTGGGTTTCCGTTTTTCTCCTTCTTCGTGTTGAGGCATTTACTTTTTTTCTGAAATTGATCATCTTCCTTTTTGCGCATCAGTCACCTTAATTAGGCGCCTGAGTGCACATCGAAGAGATTGTTGTAGAGCAACTAAGTTTCGAAAGCGAGTTGCGCGATTTTGCGAAAGGCAGAAAAGAAGTATGCTAATTTATTGATTGATCCAGAAACAGATTGGTTCGCTGTCACTGTTACTTGGCAGTGGATGTTTCCGCTGATCATTCTCTCAGAAAAATATTAACGTGAGGGATTTTTTGGAACATTAGGGTCCTCATTGCGAGGGTATTTGTCCGCGAGCCGCCATTTTTCCAGACGAAAGGAAGGTTCATTTGAACTCAAAATGGTCAATCCGCTCGAATCGGCCATTCATCACAGGCCTTTAGACGGCTGTAATTCGCGCGGGAGCAACTGATTATCAGTAAGCTTATAATATTTTCACGAAGGGAATCGGTATCTATCTGCAGATATGCATACGTGCGTAGAAGCACCTTGTTGTTTATTCGAAATTCGAAATAAAACGAGGCGGGATTTGAAAGTGAGCAGCCACCATTTTTTTCTCTTCCGTCGCATATAAATGTTCTTATAGATATACATCGATTAATCGATGCCTACCCCTCACTCTTTGTTTGAACTACAACACGGAGGTCGACAGCGTAGGACGCTAGCACTCCTTCGCACGAAGTCCAATTTGGCCTACTTTTTGGAACTTAAGCAAGAACATTTCTCCCCGATGTCGACCACTGTCATTAGGCATTGCTAGTGATTCCCCGGTGTTGTGTGGTTTGTGTACTTAATTTTGTTCATGGTGAATAAAGGACATTTTTCTGACAATTTTAGAATTATATTTTCAAAAGAAAGTGTTTCTCTCTCTCCCTCTCTCTCTGAATGCTGACAATCTTAGCCTTTACTATTACCCTTTTTTAACCTCGGTCATAACAGTGGTGCTAAACCTCTAACATAAGTAAATAACCCTAGTACGAGGAGTCTTTGTATGGCACGTTCTTCGGCAATGTCGAATGGGATTGACAAAATCGCGGGGATTCCGGCCTTCTGTATCAAAAAATCACTTGCGTGAGTATTTTAATCTGAACAGAAGGCCCGAAAATTGTGCTCAAACGAATGCAAAATCCTTCGTTATCAGACATGGCAGCCGCTCAGTATGCCATTCTCGTGCATGTTGCTGGCTTTCGTGCAGATATAGATCAGGATGATTGCAAAACAGCGATTTTCATCCTCTTGATCAGTCCATCGCTTAAGGATAGAAGCTAAATATGTCAGTTAAACTATCGCAGGCGACGAGTTTCCCCGCTTGCTCCACAACGTGGACGCAGTACCGACGAGTTAGGCGTAAACAGTTTTATTGGGAGGCAGTATTGCACAACAATCACTCGTCCAATACAAGCGAACATGCGAGTCCCAGGAAGCAATGTAGAAGAAGACGACTCGATCGCTGAGACAATACTTTTATTCGCCTGATGTTTCGACAGGTCTGCTACCGCTTTCCGCTAATGTCTCTGATGATGAAGCTGCGACGGATGTCGAAACGTCGGGCGAATAAAAGTATTGTTTCAGCATCGAGTCGTCTTATTCTCAATCACTCGTCCCTCACCCACTTTGCTCCGATCGAAGACAACATCCGGATGACTAGAGATGAGTGCGAGCATAGTGGCAAACAGGGTCTAGCAGTCTTTCTACTAGTGCCAGGTACGACACCATCCCCACTGCATGCACTGACAGTTCGAGTGTCGATTTCGACTGTGTTTACCAAATGCTTCAGCAAGCTTAAGTTTCATGCGACGACCTGCGCGAGGATTATTTTTAAGTTATACTACACTTGCGATGCACCTACCGCACTATCGCTCTCTTTTTCCTCACCCACCTGAACCAGGAAGACTGGAGGCGGGATCGGGGGAAGGTGGCTGGCACGGTCGAAGCCATCCCTATGCGTGTCACCACGACCCCTCCCGTGTTTTATGGGAATGCACCCCAAATAACGCCTGATGTTGTCCCCCGCGCCGCATCTACCACGCGGCCCCTCTAGGGAGCACATGCTGTGATAGTATCATAAAGGCCACATTAAGGAGTTATACAGTAGTCGCCGGCTATTAAGCCCACGGTCAATAAGCCCGCCACTTATTAAGCCCAAATTGGTCTGGGCCCT